ATCATTTAATTGTAGAAACTATCTAATTTCGTCTTTATTTTTCTGTGTGACCCAATGGTTATTCATCAGGGTGTTATTTAATTTCCATGTGTTTGTGAAGTTCTTGCAGTTTCTTAGGCTATTGATCTCCAGTTTAATTGCACTATGGTCTGATAATATACAGGAGATAACTTCAATTCCTTTGCATTTACTTAAGCATTTTCTATGAGCTAGCATGTGGTCTATTTTGGAGAATGACCTGTGTGCAGCTGAAAAGAATGTATATTCTGATTTTGTGGAGTGAAGTACTCTGTAGACATCTACTAAGTCCATTTGTTCTAAGACTTGGTTCAGATCTGTTATTTTATTGATTTTTTTTTGTCTAGATGATCTGTCTATTTGTGTTAGTGGAGTATTGAGGTCCCCCACTACAATTGTATTAGTGCTTTTTTTTCATATCGATTAATATTTGTTTTATATAGTTGGGGCCTTAGTATTTGGTGCATATATATTTATGATTGTCATTTCTTCCTTTTGTATTGTTCTCTTTACAATGATGTAGTGGCCTTCCTTGTCTCTCTTAATTAGTTTTGGTTTGAAATCTATTCTTTCTATTATAAGATAGCTACCCCCACTTTTTTCCAGGCTCCAGTCACATGGAGAATTGTTTTCCATCCTTTCACAGTTGTGGATTAAGTGGGTTTCTTGGATACAGCATATTTTTGGATTTTGCTTCTTCTTTTTTTTTTTTTTTTTTATTTTTGAGACAGGGTCTTACTATGTAGTTGAGACTGACCTGGAACTCACTATGTAGTCTAGGCTGGTCTCAAACTCATAGTGATCCTCCTGCCTCTGCCTCCCGAGTGCTGGGATTACAGGCATGCGCCAACACACCCGGCCTTGGATTTTGCTTCTTAATCCATTCTGCCAGCCTGTTTTTTTTTTTTGATTGGTGAATTGAGGCCATTAACATTGATGGTTATAACTGTTATATATTGACTTTTTATTGTCATTTTATTTTCTTATTGTTTGTTCTTTTATTTTTTATTTTTCCCTCTCTCCCTTTAATTTCTTGCTTGGCCTGGTATATTTGCTCTGTTGGCCCTTATGGAGTTGTGGCCTGCATTTTCTTTTTCCAGGATATTGTTTAGAAGTGTTTGGAGTACCTGGTTGGTGTTCATGACATTTCTCAGGAGTTCCTTGTCGTGAAAATATCTTATTTCCCCATCAATTTTTTTTTTGGCGGGGGTACCGAGGATTGAAATCAGGTCCTTGTGCTTTCGAGGCAGTCGCTAGAACCACTGAGTTAAATCCCCGGCCCTCCCCATCAATTTTGAAAGATAGTTTTACAGGAAATATCAGTCTATGTTGGAGGTTGTTTTCTTTTAGGATTTGAAATATCTCACTCCAGATTCTCCTTGTCTTGAGGGTTTGTGTTGAAAAGTCTGTTGTGATTCTGATGGGCTTTCCTTTGCATGTGATTGGTTTCTTTTCTCTAACTGCTTGAAGTATTTTGTTTTTCTGTTGGGTTTCTAGGATCTTGATTATTATATGTCTAGGTATAGTTGTTTTTTTTTTTAAATCATTGCTAGTTGGAGTCTTATATGCCTTACTTACATGTATGTCAAATTCTTCCCCCTGTCATTAATTCTGTGCACAGTTTTTTATATCATCTGTACTTTCTCCTGCTACTTCATGGATTCCTACAGCCTTATATTAATCTTCTTTGTGTCATCTAAGAGTTGATTTCTCATGGCCCCTTACTGTTTTTAAGAGATCTCTCTTCATAGTCACTGACCGCAGTTCCTATCCTCTATATCTGAAATTCTATCTTCACATTTGTTCAGACTGCTATGAATGCTTTCTATAGAGTTTTTAATCTCTTGGATATCTGTCTGTTTCGTGGATTCCATTTCTTTCCTATGCTGGGCATTCTTGGTTTTCATCATGGTCCTGAGCTTATGTTTTTTTATCTGTTTCTATTCTAGAGTCTCTAATCATGTCTTGCATCCTTCTCACCATCTCTGTGGTTATCTGGGAAATTATTTCTGTTTTGAATTTTTCTAGAGCTTCATTTATCTGTTTTTCTACTTCCTGTTCTATCAGTTCAGGGTGTCCAGATGGTTGACTGTCAGACTTTTCCACCTCATTTCCCCCAGAGTTTACCTTTTGTCGTGTGGAAGTCTGTGTTTGTGTCTTATTTAAATGACTTCTCATTTATATTTTTATCATTGGTCCAGTCCTTGGTTTAATTCTTGGGTTAATACTTCAGTCTTCCAGATATGGCTGGTCTTTAGGTTTTGAGTCTCTAATGTCTCAGAGGCAATCTCATTTTCATTATACCAGGGAGGACAACTAATTAGATCAGTCACAACACCTTAGCCCAATTGATACAATCAACAACACAATATTCTCAAGCACAGCTTAGAAAATGAAAATTTGTGGTAAGTATTAATCTATCACCTTTACCTCTGTGAATTAAATCAAAATCGAGGACCAGCCCAAAAAATATTTATAGTGAATAAACTCTTCAATATAGCAACTTTACACTTCAGGATGGGGATTTAGAAGGAGATGGGGAGAGAGGGATAAATAGATAGGATAGAGAAAGGTTAGAAGTGAGGTCAGAGTACACAGGAAGATCCCACAAACTCTAGGAAACTGTTGAAGAGAAGAGGAGAAGACAGAACCCAGCCCAAACTGGCTAAAACAAAAAAGAGAATTTATTGGCCATGTGAATCAAAAGACCAAAACTAAGCATGGACTAAGTGTGGGGTGTGGTGGTGCTCACTTGTAATCCCATCACTCAGGAGGCTGAGGCAGGAGGATCAAAAGAGCCTAGCCTAGGCAATTTAGTGATTTAGTGAAACTTAATCTTAATTTTTTTTTTTGAGACAGTCTTGCCATGCAGTTCAGGCTGGCCTCAAACTTACTCTGTAGCCAGGGCCAGCCTTGAACTCACAGTGATCCTACTTCCTCAGCCTCCTGAGTGCTGGGATCACAGGCATGCACAACCACGTCCGCCTTTGTCTTAAAATTTTATAAAGGGGTGGTGATATAACTCTGTTGCAAAGGCACTGGGTTCAACTTCCAGTGCAAAAGAGGAAAAAAAAAATCCAAAATTCAATTAAGGGAATGCTTCTTTAATAACTCCACCATTTTACCTAATGAAACTCTTCATGGTGGGGGGATATTTCTGTTTTTATTCACAGATAAGTGTTTACAAATTAATCAATAATATATATTTAATTTTCCTCAGGGAGAATACTTTGTAAATTCCTGGGTCAAAAGAGAATTACCTGTGGCATCAGATAAAAACCCATACATATTCCCAAGGCTTTGCTTGTGTAGTTCATCAGCCCTTTTTTTTTTTTTTTTAGACAGGGCCTTGCCAAGTTGCTAAATTGCCCAGGATAGGCTTGAACTTGTGATTCTCTGCCTTAGCTCCTTCTGTGTTGGGACTATAGGCCTGCATCCATCTTTTCTTTTTAACCCTTCCATTTTCCTCCTCATTTTGTAGCACCACAATTTTCTTTTCTTTTCTTTTCTTTTTTTTTTTTTTTGCAATACCCAGGAATTGAACTCAGCACCTTGTGCTTACCAGGCAGGTGCAGCACTGCTGAGCTCCATCCCTGGCCTACGAAAATTATTTTATTTTATTTTTAAATTTATTTACTATTGGAGGCCAGGGATGGAGCTCAGTGGTTCTGCCGCCTGCCTTGCAAGCAGAAGGCCCTGAGCTTGATCCCCAGTACCAAAAATCTTTTTAAATTTATTTTTTCCTCAATACCAGGGATTGAACTCATGACCTTGCACTAGCAGGGCAGGCACAGCACCTCTGAACTAAATCTCTGGCCCTATAATTCTTTTAAAAAATCATTTTCATAAGAGATTTTTGCAGTTGTGGAGTGACTTAGTTTTTAGTGTGGATGCACATGGGGAAATATATTTGTTCCTCCACTAACCCTTTCCCCAACACAGCTGAACTTTCTGAATAAAATGTTTTGAAAACATTCTTAAATGGCTCCATGTGTTAAGAAATGAATGAATATTCATATTAAAAGTGAAATGTGTAGTGCATGCCTGTAATCCCAGGACTCAGAAAGCTGAGGCAGGAGGATTAAGAGTTCAAGGCCAGCCTGGGCTATGTAGCAAGACCCTATCTCCAACAAAACAGAACAAAACAGTGAGATGATGGCAACTCAGCCAGCTTTCATCTCAGGCAGTGTTACATACAACACATTCAAACCCTCAGCATGCAGAGGACAGGACTGAAGCCCAGGGCCAGCCCAAGGGGAGCAGCCATCCAGAGTCTACCATAGTGACATCTTAGAGAAGCAGGTACCCAACCGCCTTTCTCTCTTTTTTTTTTTTCATTGAAATAGGATCTCACTATGTAGTTGAATTGAGACTGATGTGGAACTCACTGTGTAGGCCAGGCTGACCTCAAACTCACAGCAATCCTCCTGCCCAGCCTCCTGAGTGCTGGGATTACAAGGCGTGCGCCACCATGCCTGGCTCCCAACCACCTTTCTTTTTTTCTTTGGTACAGGAGATCAAACTCGGGTCCTTACACTTGTGAGGCAGGCGGCGGAACCACTGAGCCAAATCCCTGGCCCCCAACTGCCTTTCTTAAGTGCACTTTTGGGCGAAATCACCTTTCTCCGTCTTGACACTAACCTTGGAAGGAGGAAATCCCCTCTAGCTTTTCTTGTTTTATTCTGGCACTAGACCATAAGGAAATAATTTCCACATATGTTTTATTACAGCAAATTTCAGACATATGCAGAACTAAGATAATGTAACATACTCACTAGACATGCAGAACTCTGCTTCCACAGTGCCAGCACTTGGCGAACTTTGCCTCAGCGACATCCCTTTCTGCTTCTCACACCCAGTTATTCCGAGACAAGCTCAGTATCTAGGGCCACGGCATCTGCGAATATGGGGGGAACCTTCACTGTGTCCTAATGAAGCTCACTGCTCTCACCTGTGCCTTGCCTTCAAACCTACAACGACAGCGTCTTCACTAATGAAGAACTTCGATGGAACACTTTTAAGACCTGGCCTCAAGCGTCCCTGCCGGCATTGTCAGCCTTGGTCAAAGCAGGTCTCTTCCACAGAGGTGAGCAGCAGCTGGTGCCTACTTGCTTGCTTGGCTGGTTAAACCCCATGTGGGCTAGGGGATCTAAGCCTTGCGTTGATCTATACTCAGCGATCTTCCTTCTTTTCATCAGTCTTTATGCATCCCTTTTAAATCCTCTCTCCATTCTCTGTGCTATTAGAAATCAGCCCCCAAACTCTGAATTGTTGGTGTCAGAAAGAATGCACTCAGACACAAAGTGAGAGGTCTGGACAAGGCTTTTCTCTTCTGCAGAAGGGCACAAGAATGAGATAGCAGGCACACAGGACAAAGGAAGGTTGCCCCTTTTATCCCTGAGGCAGGAGAAGCACCTGGCTTTTAAATTCATTGGCTAAATTCAAAGGCTTATAATCTATCTCGGCTGATTGACTTCAGTGGCGTGTGGTGGGTGGGAGTGTGCATTGCTGAGTAAATTGGGGGGGGATTGTGGTTTGGAACACAAAATCCTTGGTTCTTGGAAACCAGCTGTATTCTAGAAAAAGGTACATAGTCACCATTTCTTGGAGCTCAAGATATTAATGGGGGATGGGGTAGTGAGTAGATGGCCAGGTCGTTAAACCCAAAATGGAGTTGTTTTGGCCTTGTGCCTGTCAGAAAAGACAAAACCTATTACTCACAGTACCCCCTCTGAGGTGTGAAACTCCAAATTTGAAAGCCTAACCTAGATAAACGATAAGGACAAGGAGTCTGTTTGGGATGACTATCATGTCTTTCTTCCTATAATTATTAATTATTCCCCTGCTCATTGTCTTCATTTCTGCCTTAAAACGGTCACGACATTTCTGCTTATATTTCCTTAACCATAATTTAGTTAGGTGGTCCTAACTAAAGGTAAAGCAGAGCTGTAAAGCAGAGCTGGGGCTGGGCATGGTGAAACCTGTAATCCCAGCACTCAGGATGCTGAGGGAGAAGGATCACCATGAGTTCGAGGCCAACCTGAAATACATGCTGAGATCCTGTCTCAAAAAAAAAAAAAAAAAGGACTGGGGATTTAGCTCAGTGGCTCTGTGCCTGCCTCACAAGCACAAGGTCCTGAGTTTGATATTTGGTACCCACCCCCAAAAAAGGTGGAGCTGGGAATCTTAATGTTTTTTCTGGGTGATAATGTACCCGGTTAAAATTGAGGCTTCTGTTACTGTGGAAGAATGTGAGAGAGGGAGAGGTGTGAATAGCAGTCTGCCACACCTTGCTCAGAGGAGAGTCAGGAAATTCATTTGCCAGATTCTGAAGCATGCAGTGTTCCACCGGTTATTTGTGTCCACTAAGAATGGCTGTTTATCCCAAAGCTTCACTGTTCTTTCCCAAAGCTGGTCCGCTCTGTGAAATCTCTGACTGAGGTGCACAGGGGAACAAGGAGGGGATATTGTGCCTTCCTACGCAGTACCCTCCTGATCTTCTCACACCAGCTGCATCCCGAGTTACCTCGGAGACTTTGACCCTTTAATGGAGAAATCATGTAGGCTGCACAAGTACAACAGAACAGCTCAGGATCGGAGTGCAGCTGTCACTTTAATAGATACATTTAATTGCCCCAGAAGTCTTAATGCCTGTCTTCAGTCTTTAGAGAGTGCTCTGCACTCTTGCCAGACTTGCTCCAAGTCCCTCTGTCCAGAGTGTGCCTCCTCTCCCCACAAATCCTGGTGGTCTGATGCTTTTAGGGTCCTGAAAGCTCAAGGATCTCATTTTTTTTGGCCAGAAACAAAGGGAAGGTTTGTCCCAGCTGAACAGAGCTGCTGGGTCCAAGAGTGTGAAGGGCTGGGGATTTAGTTCAGTGGTGCTGCCACCTCAAAAGCCCAAGGTCCTGAGTTCAAAAAAAAAAAAAAAAAAAAAAAGGGAGGAAGATGATGGGTTCCAATTTGAGCCCTTGCAGAACCAAACACTGATTTCCCTCCAGAGAAATACAGTCTCCTGGGGCACTTGGTCCTGTGTCTAGCAGAATAAACCTGGTACTGGTGTGGGAACAGCAAGTGATTTTACATGAACTTGCTGACATAAGGGTTCCTGGTTTTACTCATATGTTTGTTTTGTTTGTTAATTTGTTTGTTTGGTGTTTTGGTACTGGGGATCAGACTCGGACCTTGTGCTTGTAAAGCAGGCTGCAGAACCACTGTGCTCATATGTTTTGATTTCCCTGAGCTCCAGATCTACTCTTTCTGATTTATTAATTAAACAAATACTAATTGCCAAAGAAGTGCTAGGAAGCCAGGTGTGGTGGCACATGCTTGTAATCCCATCACTTGGGAGCTGAGGCAGGAGGATTGCTGCAAGTTCAAGGCCAGCCTGGGCTACATAGTGATTTCAGACCAGCCTGGACGACACAGGAAGATCCTGCCTAAAAAAAAAAAAAAAAAAAGG